TCAGGTGAGAGCTGGAAGTCAAATTGGAATTGAATAGATGTTGGCCTCCTTCTGTCCTCTCTCTAGGAGGTTCCACCTGGTGCTGTTAGTGTTCCAGTCTTGACTCTAGGTCAAAAGATACGGTTTGTTTAGCGATGCCAAAGCAGAATAGTATTGATCTGTAATGTTGAGGAGATGGCAGAAGTTTCTCCTGTCATCCTTATCTTCTGGTGCATGGTTTCAGTCTTGACTCTAGGTCAAAAACATGCGGTTTGTGGCAGCAATCAGAAGTAGCTATTGATCTGTAATTTAAAGCAGCTTTTATTCTCTCAACAATCAATTATTTGCATGCAGAATAAGACCATTGTTACACAGTAATTTAAATTGGTTATCAAATTATTAGCTGCAGAATAAGACAGTAATGATTGATATCAAATGGTTTGCCACCTAAGCAGTAATGTGATGTAATGTTTGCCACCTAAGCAGAGATACAAAAGCAGACAATATTGACAAAGAAAGTCAATACAAAACATGTCAATCTTCATTTCAGTGGCGTGCTTTCCCAGACAGAATTCAGGAAATATGCATATTGGGCGTTGATGCTGTCTTGTTGGGTTTCCTCCGGTCTTCTCCTGCATTTGTTTGGCATTTTGCAGGCCAGGGAGAAAAACACTTCTGTGTCCTGTTACATTGCTCACTAAACCTTCATGTATTCAGCCCAGTACTAACTATGTTCTATTTTAGACCACACCCATTCAAGAGTATTCTTAAGGAATACTAGCAAATCAGAGCAGCACACACACACACACACACACACACACACACATATATATATATATGGACTCTGAGATGGTGCTATACTAAGGCAGAAAAAAAACCCATTGAATGTTTACCTTACAGTTTGGTGTGCTGCCCGGCAACAAAGTACACACAATTTAACAGCTTAGTTCTGTTGTTCAAAACACGACGAGTTGCAAGTGCTTAGTGTTTTGTTTAGCTTTTTTGTGATATGAGAATCGGGGCCTGGTGCGTGCTACTGCCCACGTGACAAATTATATTCTCAGAGAAACCCGCTTCACAGAAAAAGACAGGAACCTATCGCTACCACACTGTCAAAGAAGCAAAAGTATTTCTGGGAGACTTGCCCTTTGTAGCTCATAAATAAAATTAAACAAAGACATCAATAACTGAAGCCATGCTCTAACATGAGCATTTCATTTTTTTAATTAGTGTGCTGTGCAAATGGCTCGTATATAAGATGTGACTCCATTGCAAGTTGGAGAGATTGGGATGCTTTTGAATTTCTCTGAATTTTCCCCTGCACCTCAAAGCATCTATATTAGTTTTTTTAATATATAAGAGATATTTTATGCATGAGAAAAGGCGATAAGCATTCCATTTAGAATTACTTTCGTTGGAAGCAATTTCCTCATTCTGAAGTTATTTACTGAACGTCACATTAAACTTAAGAAGAATGTGTGGGAGAAGTAATTGAAAAAATGCATGCCAATCACTAGACATTTTTAATATGCTCGTCATTTTCTACAAATGATCAATCTAAATGAAAAACAACGGCGTTCCATGGGCTTCAGCCTTTCTTGAGTTTTCCCTTGTTTTCCCCCACTGCAAGCTTTTCAGCAAAACCGAAACTGGCAGTAATATTTCTCTAAGAGTGATTTCACCTTTCATTTAAAAACCATTTGCAGAGCTGGGGAAAACAAATTTGTTTAAGATTTTATGATCTTCCATAGATTATGCGAGGTAAAGGATGGAGGCCCATTTGTCAGATTTACAGACACACAAATATAAATATTTTCCCCAAAAATCATTTTATTTTCCCAAAATTGTGTTATTATTAAGCCAGCATGTATAGTATAAATACAACATTTATTTCACAACCACTACTGCACCTTTCATTTACAATATAATGGTGGATATTGTTTTCTAGATTCATACAACTACATATTATGATCATTTATTTTATTTTATCTCATTGTATATACTTGAGAACATATATAAAATTGTACATGTGTAATGTCATCTTACATACGTGTGCAGAAATATTGGCCTCACAGATTAACTGTGTGCATATGGAATCAAGAGTGTGTTAAACATACTTTTATAATGCCAGGCTGTCACATTGTGTATTGCTGGAGTATTCTCAGAGGGTTTTCAGCTAGGTATGTTTTCCAGCACAGCTCTCAGTTTCACTGCAGGTACTGCATGGGCAAAGCAGAAGCTGGCTGAGTCAGTTGGAAAATATAGTTTGTTTATTATGGTTTTCTTTCCAGTACAGCCTCTCTGTATCTTTTGGGTTGAACTGGTTGACCCCTCGACCCCCCCGACCCCTGCACCACATGCCGCTTCACGCGCACGACCGCTGGGGAAACAAAAGCTCCCTCTGTCAGAAAGATGCTTCCACAGCAGAATATTACACTGCTGTTATGTCCCTGAGTGCTGTCACTCACACAGGTCACCTGATAACCCGCCATACGATGAGGAGTCCCTTTGCACTACCCCAGCTTCTGCCAGCGTCTTCTTTTTTCATTTAATTGACAACCAGTCAAGAAATTGCACTCCTGCATTGTACCTAGATTCTGTCAATGCAAATGTATTGTAGCGCAAAATGGGGCCAATTTATCATCTACAAATGAATCCCATATTGTAATCTCCCAGTTTGAATGTTTCAGGATTTTACCCATTTATTCTGTAATTACCTTTAGGAAACAACAAAACTGCCTGTAAAAAAGGCAATAGGAATGTTTCCATTGCTGACAAAAACATCACATGCAAGAAACCTAATCAGACACATAAACACATGTCTCATTCTGTATAGTCATTTTTATAGCTTGCAGGACAACAATGGAAATGCATGTTTCCAGATGCATTTGGAAACATACAACCACAAACTGTGGTAGTGGTTTTCCTGGCCGCCACCCTGCTGCAATCAGTTGCTCCGAGCTTCTTCCCTGTAATCTGCAGACGTTATAGGGTGTTTATTCCTAATGTCATGCCTTGAGAATGTCATTTTCATGTTGCGTGAGGCTGCCATGTTTTTCAATGATGCAAACAAACATCACAGACATAGTGACTTCATTTTGGCAAGCACCATACCTTGTGGTTTTGTAACTTGTAAATTCTGACCCCCCTTACCAAGGTAACTTATAAATATGTATAAAACCTCTCAGGCTGTCTTTGTGCGCTGACACACAGGGAGTATTCTTACCAATGCACTGTCTGAAGTTAATTATGAATATTAGCTCTAAACCCACCTCTGTCTATGGGTCCACCCATGTATGCACAATACATAAATGTGTAAACATAGTATCTGTGTGAAACAACCCCGCAGAGGATGTCCTTGTCACCTTATCAGACTCAACCTCAGGCACCAGCTTCCTCCCTGAGCACACCCGCAGAAAGGGCCTCCTTCTGGCACATGGACAGTCCCTGCTTTAAATGTCACACGGACTCCAGCTTCTCACAGCTCTGCGCGTTTGTGTTTTTGCCCCGCCCCGCCCCTCACGCAGCCGGGGCAGCGGATTGGCTGCGGGGCCCTGCCTCGTCTTCCTGTGCCTCGCTAGCGCGACTCCACCGTGACACCCGCACACAGCGGCCACCGAGATGCTTCTGTCCCTGCCACAGAGCGGCTTCGGCCACCACCGACACCCCTCACCACCCGACAGGAAGGTAAACACCGGGATCCGCCCGTTATCGGGCCGCGGGGAGGGGAAGGGAGGAAAGGGGAAGGGGGTCGGGGTTCGGCTGCCCTCTCTCAGAGGCTCTGTGGCCAGGGCCCCGGGGCTCAGGCTAAGGTTGCCTCTGGGGGAGGAAGTCGCCAGGAGAGGAGATGCGAGCATTCGAAAGGAAGTCGCGTTGCGCCCTGAGCTGCAGATAGCGTTAGAAGCCGCCGTGCTTGTTCTTTTCTTGTACCTTGAAAGCAAAGTGCGCTTCCTGACTCTAGAGCAACTGTCTTTTCACCAGGGTGCTCAGGTCGTTAGCACACTTCCCTACCACTTAATGTGTGGTATAATGGAACACACACTTTTGTTAAGCTATCTCTGTGTGTGCTGGTGATGGTATTAGCATGTGAAGGAGCTTTTGGGAGAGGAGGGTCCTCTGTGGTTCCACATGAAAGGCATTTGAGATGAGGACGAGAGAGAGGCAGTGGTTAGGCAGAGATGAGCTGGCTGAATATTTTTTGCACTGCTTAGTGAGGACATCTGTTATGTGTTAAACCAGTATCTTCAGGAACCGGTTTGTGGCTGTGAGGTCTATTAGTTTCATTGCGGGCTGTCATTGTCAGTTAAGCCTGCCTTGCTGGAAAGATATTGTTAGAGTCCATATTCAACGTGTAATCAAAATAAGACTTATAAAGCCAAATATCACAATTATGTTTATAAGATTACCATAACCAGAATTCAGAATGCCTGAGATCGCAAAGAAATTTCAGCATTTTGGAATGTGTGAAAATGCAGGTGAAAAAGCAGTTTCAAATGGGCAGAAATGTGACTGAAACATCTTACTACAAAACCTTCAGGGTCAGAGTGCCTTTGGTCCCCAGTTTCAATTCAGTGTCTTTGCTTGCTGTATTATTTCTGTAAGATTCTCTGTTTCTGTAGCTCCCCTAGGGATCGTGTTTGTTCATGCTTTGCTTAAATATGGCAGCAGATGTTACCAGAAGTACATCCGATTTAGTCTGGCAGAGAGGCATCTAACTTAGTGTTTAGCTCCCAGTTTACAATGCAATATCACTGACTACTCATAGCAATATTAACACTTCAGTTCTGTCTTGGGAGCACAAATATTTGGCATATTTTGTATTAAAACACAATATTAACCATTTAAAAACAAGCACGCACACACCCCTTGACATTAACTTCCTGACCTTGCTGCCCTGACAGTAATAATACAGAACCCACAGTCAACTGGGTGGGGGGTATTTCCTGTTATAATGCAGACTGATTCTAGAGTGCTCCACTGTGCTGCATATGGAACCATATGGCAATGTGTTGTAATCAGACACCAGCGTGGTGTAGTGGTAGAGAGCAGGGCTCATAACCCAGAGATTGCCAGTTTGATTCCCCACTGGGGAACTGGTGTTGTACCCTTGGGCAAGGTACTTAACCAAGTATTGTCTGAGTTAATATGCAGCTGTATGAATGCATAACATGTAAAAAATTATAATCTGTGGAAGTTTCTCTGGACAAGAACATCTACAAAGCAACTAAATGAAATTGCAATCCACAGTGAGGATTAGGGTTCAAAGATGACCAATTTCTCAAAAATACAAGCTGCACCAAGCTCACCAGCTCTAGAGAGGGGTATTACATGTGAAAGCAGCTATTAACCCTATCCACTATCAGAACCCAAACTATGGCCACATCTTTTCCCATGGCCTTTTCATGGCAGTGAGGCAATTTAGCAGGACAAATGGGGTGTTAAGCCTCGACTGTGGCCTTGCTCTGAGCCAAGTGGGGACAGTACAGCTGAGGTTGGAGACTATTCAATACTATGTAAGCTGCATTTTGAAACAGAACCACAATGTACAGCTGCCATTTTCTGAGCCAATCGTGAGTTAGCTTAGCTAGCTAAGCAGAGAGAACGAGCTGCGCATACAACCAATAGTACAGAGGCAAAAACATAACATGCATCCAACTCCATTACAAAAGGCTTCTACACTCTGCATCTGCTTGGGTGACATCTACTGTGACATCATAAAGACAGCTTACACGTCATAAGATGCATCTTATGTTGACACATCACTTTTGTTCTTTGTGCTGGACGTTGCTCTGGATTGGAGTGTCTGCTAAATGAATGCAATGTAATGTAACAATGGAGAAACACAGCGGCTTCCTGGGTTCGTGTGTGAGCTCCTGGCTTTTCTTCCTGGTCCTCTGGCCCATAGTTGACAAGTGGCTATTGTGATCTTTACCCTTCATATGTAGTCCAGCCTTGATTTCTTGAGTGTAAAAAAGCTATTTTTATAATGTTTATGAGTTTGTGACAGCTAAGAGTGTCATGGAGTCAAATGGGTTAAAGACCACCACTTTTGTTTTTGAACTTTGTGAACTCTGTCACCTTTGGTGATCTGTGGAGTATGTAATGCCACATCAACACCACGTGAGAATTAGACATGGATTGTTAGTCAATATCTGGTAAGAGCAGGGTTACAAAATGAAGCATACTTAAAAGTTTCGGTGGTTGATATCAAGCAAATGAAGTTAAACAATGTGCTTGATTGCAATTGCAAATTTAACCTTAATCAAGAATGTGTCAAAGACTGAGATTTTTTTTTTGTTTGGTTTTGCTTACCCGTTTTGGCCTCAGCGGTGACATTAACACTGTGCCTGCAGTGGTCAGAATGGGCAGATGTTGCAGATGTTGTTAGCGGGACCCGAAAGCGCACGCAGAGGCTGAGTGCTAGCAGCACCTCCGCGGGGTGAGGCGTGGCGGAGGACGGGGTGGTTAAAGGATGCACAGCAGAGAGCACGAGATGCTGATGCTATAAGAAGCAACACTAACAGGGGGCAGGAAAGGAAGTGCCACAGTGAGAGAGCGCGCTTCACTCGCTCCATTGTGCTGAAGGCGTTTAACAACCCAGCCGGCTGCTTAACAAGGCAGGGGAGGAAGTGAAGTAAAGAGGTGACCTCGGCTGTTCTGAGATCAGCGGACCGCCCGCCGGCGAGGGGGCGAATCCAACAACATCTTTAAATAACCTGCGACTAGATTGAAAATGGCAGCCAAAGCTTGCCCAAATACAAAGATCCAAAACAAAGTCGCTGGGTAGGTCTTTTGGGATCTCTTCTCCTTTCTAAATAGGACTTCTCCCCTTTTAGAATCTTTGACCCTTTTTTCTTTTCTGTTTGTGTTTTGAAGTGTATATGTAGGTTTGGTCTGTCCAGCCTGCTGTCATGTGTCTTTTGCGCTCTAAGCAGGTCCCAGGGCAGGGTGTGGATCTCTTGATCTCAGGGTCACAGCACAGCACAGCACTGCTCTGTGTGAGCGGATCTCTCTCTGTAGTGTGGGTCTGCATGCTACTGGCAGCTAAGCTCCACCAAACTCATCCTCACTATCTGCAGGAGCTGCTGGCTATGTGCAGATAGAGCATTATAGTACACACCTGCTGGGACTGGCAGTGTTTCAGTGTGGATGTTATCCAAGTGGCAGCCTGCTTAGTGTTGTTCTGATATCAGGAGTTACTATAACTGTGGTTATAAAGTCTCTTCTGTAAGCATCTGTAAGCACAGCAATATACTTGGATTTTATAGCCACTTTTATACCAGCAATCCTGGCAATATACCAGTACCGAGATGCTGGCATTGCTTACTGCGTGAAAGTCAAATGAATTCACCATCCAGTGGTGTTTCTACAAATCATTTAGGTACATTTCTACCTAAATGTAACAGCTTTGATTTCAGTGGGCCTAACACGTAAAAAAAGTAGTCTCAGAGAGGTTTGCATATTTTTGTTGTCATTAGGGGGACCCTATTGGCCCCCCACAGCATCTGATCATACTGAACAGGCTCACCGTGAGTAATGGGATGTGTGGTCACAATACCACAGTTTCCCCTTAGGTCTGGAATGCAAGCCAATCCATATTTGTCTGGAGTCCTGAATGGAGTCTGATATTTCTCTCAACGCGAGGGCCATTTTTGCAGACTTTTATGAGGTGGACTTTTATGAGGTAGACTTTATGCCAGTTTCGTTTTTTCAAAAAACATCACAACAATATCTCCACCTAAACGATTTACTCTACCGACAGAAAACCTTCACTGATTTCTTCTGTGGATGCTTCTCTTTAAAGATTATCCAAAGATAGCCACACTGTAAGAGATTACAATTTTTGCAAGAACAACTGATGAAAATGGTCTGAAATTTAATGACTGACATTTGAGCCTTTTTGAAGTTCTAAAATTATTTGAGTAGTAGCTATCAAATTCAGATTTGAAATTTGAGTTGACATTTGAAATTCTACAACCCCTTATACAGTACAAGGCACTTTATGTAGAAGAATAATACTAATTATTTTAATATTAATGATTATAAAAATTGGAAGTAGTGTTACTAGTAGCAGTAATAGCAGATTTTGCATTATAATGTTTCTATTTTGATTTAGTTGTACCCTTGGCTCTCAGAGTGGTGGAAATGTTTTATTTGCTTCCCATGGATTTCCCACAGTTGTAGGTTAGCATTCTCTGCTTCTGAACCACTGGTTTTGATGATCCATATTTCTATATCATTTACATTGATAAACATCCCCATTTCATAAGGAGGGCAGGAAGTGTAAGGACAGGCATTTAAAACTTTCAGAATCCATAAGCAGTGAGATCCCATCAGAGAGTTCATAACATCATGTCCTCTTCATTACTCACTAATGAGCTCCTACCTCAAATACCCTTCAGCCACAATTATAACTGTTAATATTAGTAATCAGTATTGCTGTTCCATATTATGGCAGCAATCGCTGATAAGGAAAGCAGTTTGAGTCCATAAATTGGATAGTTTATTGTCTTTATCCTTATTATAATTTTGATTAATGGGGAATAAAGCCAATTCATAAAGTGTATGAATTGGGCAATTTATCATTACATATTCAAGTGTTTAGTTGTCAATTTTTTTAATTCAAATAATAACATATTGGAGTGAATATGTGTTTATTTCAATATATTCATACCATCACTGGTCTGCGCTCCTCTTCTCTGCTGTTTAAATAATGCAGTAACACTTTATTGATCTGACATTTTGCATGTTTCTTCTGTGTGAATGCTTCTACCTTTCAAAGAAACTAGCTTTTCAAGTTAAATTCATTGTTGCATCTGTTTAAGCAGTTTGTTTCACCAACACATATGTTTCACTGCCTAAATAGCACAATCCTTTTCGCAGTTATTTTTAAGAACACATGTCATGTCAGAAAAAGCTAACTCTACCCTTTGCTATGAAAGACAAACGTACAATTATTTTCTCCTCTTTCTTTCTAATGAAACCAATTTATGTCAAAACAAAGTCTTTTATCACTGAATATCAGAAGAAGGTAATGAGACTTACAGAGGAATTCCTTGAGAGATTTTATCCTAAATTTCTCATCGACCATTTAGCTCTCTATGGGGCTTGATTCAGAATGGTGTTCTTGTGGATGTTATTAATGAAGTCTCTCTGTAACAGCATGGGACTCTTGGCGTTATCACTGTTGTCTCCAGTTATCCCTTTGTCAATCAGTAGCTGCAGATATGCCGGCTTAAACAATAGCCATTATTCTTCACCATAACAAAATGTTGATCTGCTCCAAGGCTAACAGTGCAGCTCAAAGATGATCTACACACCAATGGAGTTCAGAGAAGAACTTGCATAAAATGTCTGTTACAGTGCATCAGCACAATACAGTAAGACATGCATCTGTCAGTACACCAGTATTGTGAATCATGGATTGCTAGATTTGTTTTCAGTGGGTCACTGTTAGGAAGCTGATTCCCACTACTTCCCATCAGATTCCCATCCTTGCAGGTATCTGTGAAAGCTTTTACTGTGTAGCCAATGAACAGCCCTTAGATTCTCAGGTGTGTTCCATTGCCCTAATTTATTTGCTGAACCACTAAATACATTTGCATCACCATTTTTTGTAGCACCAGGCATAACAAACACTCTTGGTTTTGTGTGTCTGCATGCACGTGCGTGTATGTATGTGTGCATGCGTGTATGTGTATGTATGTGGGTGAATTTGTGTGTGTGTGTGCGCGTGTCTGTGCATACGTGTGAGACTTTCTTCAGAAACACTTACCAGCATGGGTGAGTATTGTGACCACTGTACACCAAATCATTCTTCCTGGTCTTCCTCATGTCATTTAGAATATATTGGATAGAATCCGTAATATCAAAATAGCTCCACAGAAAGAGCATATTAATGTATTTCAGCCTCCCTGAGTGGCTAGGCAGAATAAAACCCTTATCCCACAAAACAGACAAACTCCAACAGGCTGAAACATACGGTACTCATAAATGTCAGGGAATTATCTATAGTGTGTTTCATAAATAGTCTGAGCCTAAATATTTGACTGTTATGAGGTTAACGGATGAGATTTTGGATTATGTGGAAT